GACAGGGGGTCATGAGGTTATGTTGGGGTCATGAGCTGTCAGCCTCACCCCTATATCCTGCTTCACCTCCAGCATTTATAATAGTGTTAAATTTTTAAAAGAAGTCTTTTTAATTTATAGGAGAGAGGGGTCATGCTCAGAGGCTTGTTGTGTGAAAAGGGGTCACCAATACAGAAATTTGAGAACCACTGGAATAACGCAGTAAGGCTTGAAACTGCATCTGGTGCTGGGCCTTTGTGCCATTAAGCTTTTGGACCGGAGAGTGACTGTTGTATGGATGGGCACAAAGGAAGAGAATAAACAGGATATGCTTCACTCAAATTCCTTCACCTAACTGTTGTTTAACTCACTGGATTTTTTTACTGGGAATGATTGCAGTGCATGGCTATAGGACAGATGGCATTTCTTATCAGAGTGACAGGTAAAAGTTGACTGACTGTGTTCTTGCTAGCAAAAGGGTATTAACAGAACTGCCATAAGGGCCCCAAGTAGAGGAGGCTAACATGTTTTGTACAAAACTTTCTTGATAAAGGCCTTTTTGGAAAAATAAATTATAGAAAGCCCCTTCCCCACAAAACGTCCCAGTTTTTCAACAAAACTGATTTGTGTATGTTTAAGTAGAGTTTTTAGGTTCCTTCCCTTTTTTTCCAGTGGAAATCAGATGCAAGGAGTTTTTGTGTGTAACACTTCAATCTCTGGCTCCTTTTCTTTACTCATATACTTTTGTTGTTGTTGGCCTGTGTTGTCTACAGTAGAGCAGTATTTATCTCAATGACAGAATCAAACTTGTATTTCCCCAACTGAAGAGAACTCACAGCTCAGAAAAATAGACTTGTGTTGACTTTTACATCCTTTCCATTGTGCGTGGAGTTAGCGGTAATATGTATTACAAAAGTGTATCTTGCATCCTTTTATGTGCCATGTAGGCTCATTATAGGAGGTGTGGGTTAAGGCAGCATTCTTTGGATTCAAGGCCAGACACTGCACTGAATCAGAGCCCTCTCACTCTGATCATGAATCAGCAGGTGTGGAGGGAGAGGTTCACAGTAGACAGTCGGGCTGTGAAGAACCAGTCCATCTTCAGGAGAGCAGGACTGGCCTTGCAAGGCTACCAACTTGTTTAGTAGGGTGGGTGGGGATGAGCGGGACTGGATTGGAGCAGAATACAGTTTCACTGTATTCAACATCAATAAAAAATGCTCATACAAAAGTGGTGAGCACCATAATAATTAAATCCGTGGTAACCACACAGCATCATTAATCTCACTCTAAATTCACAATCTCCGTCAATAGATTTAATTAATCAAATGGAATTAAGTTTATCTTGGCCAGCTAACAAAATGGAAAACCCACTTGTTGCCCCTGTTCCCCTCCAGAAAAATCATCCCTAAGAACGTATCCTCAAAGCCCTGTAATATATAAATGGCTTTTGCAGTATGCCTAGGAAATCAAAATTGGACCGACATGTTCTGCACCAGCTTCAGCCTTTGAATGGCTTTAAGGAGTAGCCCGTGCAGAACACATTACAATAGTCTAATCTTGAAGTGACAAAGGCATATAACAGCAAGGTCTGCATCCATAAGAAAGAGGGACTAGAGCAGAGAATATTTCCTATCAATAATCCCCAAGACAAGGGTCACTATGACTAAAGAAATAAAAAAGCAAAAGTTAAACAATGCAGGAAAAAAGAGGAGTTGGCTTTAAAATATTATGAACATCCATTTATTCCTTTTTTTTTTAAGTTGCATTGCTTGTATTTTTACATATTCTTCCATTCCTGCATTAGCGCACCCACACATTTTAAGAAATTTTTAGCTGGCAGCTGACACGTTTCTATTATATTCCTGTTATATTTTTAAGATAGCTGCCATCCAAATATTTCAGAATGGTAAAAACTATTTACCAAAATACCCAGTGCTGTGCATCTGTGGCCAAAGTACTGTTTCAGAGTTGCGGTGCGGTTATTGATGATGCCACTCTTCTTTTCTCTTTACCTCCTCCTCACTTCTATTTCATCAAATTGTTAAAATTCAAAGTTTTCTTCCAGTAATTTATCTGGTTTATGCCAGTTTTTAAAATCAGAATCTGGAAAAATTTGTCTTGGTAAAGACAAATCCAGTTTGTTTTGGTTTGCACTGTCAAAATTTGTCATGGAGGTTTGCATGTGAGTGTTTGGCAATTGTAAAAACATTGATGTGGCAGGAACAATTTTAAGATGGCATAATAGTGTGTGAGAGAGACTGACTGTACAGGCACTTCTGTGGAGAAAAAGCCTCGAAGGAAGCTGCTCTGTTATTTTTTTTTTTTTTTTTTTTTTTAATCCTTTAGATAACTAATGAGGATTTTATGCATTTCTAAAATGAACACGTGATGCATTACAAATGCACGAATGAACCATTGTCTGCTTACTAAAAGAAGATGGGAAGGGGAGACCATCCTTAGGCGTCTGTATTATTTCACCTTACATCAGGTGCTTAGACAGTTAAAATATTTTCTCCAATTTGACTAATTTATCCATTTGTATTTTTACTGAAGTCTTTATGCTTGAAAAAGCAGGTGCATAATGACTGGCTCATTTTGTGTGGTCCAAGCTATAAAATTGCCCCTCTGTTCTTTCCATATGAAAAACATGTTTTTAATTGTGTGAAATGTGTATAATTTGTGTGCTTTCTTTTATTATTTCAAACTAAAAACAAATGCTTCCCTCCCTTAACTTTGCATGTTCCAAACAGACTTGTGAAAATAAGTCCCCTTTCAGCTTTTGTTACTTTAAAACAGCTATTGGTGATGTCAGAGTCAATACTAAAAGCATTAAGAATGCTGGCAGAATGTAATGCAGCTGCAATCCAACATGATGTTAGAAATGGGGTTGAGAGCATAAAGGCTTTCCATATTCCCAGGGCGCACAACTGCTTGCGGCCTTGGCTTTGATCTCTTCAAAGGCTGCTGCCTCCTCCTAGATGGAGAGACTTGGCTGCCACTCGCTTGCATTGAAAAAAGGCAGAGGTCTCTATTCAGGCAGAAATCAATCATTGTGCAGAAACAATTATGTGTAATTCAACCATCATGAAAACAGGACGAGATTATGGGTTTGTTACCTGAGTTACTGTGTGGAGATGGTGAACAGAGAACGCTGGAGTCCTGCTGACATGCCACATCTTGATGACAATTATAGACATATGAATGATGTGGGCAGGGGAGGCATGATGACAAATGCTGGTCACGCTGTCCAGCAGAGCAGAAAATGAGGTTACAATTGGGAGATAATGTTTGCATATGTAACCATATTTCAGAAAGCTGGGTAAATTCAGGGAGTAGATGAGATGGGCTATCATAAACAAAGGGGTGTGTGTGTAATGTTTATTGGCTTTCTGTAATATAAAATACATCACCAGTATAGCAAATCTGAGTGCCTGCTATTTTTATTTTTTTTATTTTACAGAACTGATTATTTAAAACATCTTAGCAACCTTTGGGGAAGGGGAGGAAGAGAACTGCAAGGTGAAGAGGGGAATTTCAGATCATTATAAAGGAGGCTTAATGTAGAAGTTATAATTTTTTTAAATTGTCCATGGATTTGATTTCCTATCTCAGAATGTTTTTGTGTTGACACATTACTGTTTCTGCACAGATGTCTCCTACTATCTTCCCCTTTCTGTGGGGTATTAAGTTAATTTCATATGATTAATCTTCAAGTAATTGTGTGTAGTGGTTTTGAGACTTGCATGGTAGTGTTTTGGCTATGGCAGTCTTGTATGTAGTATAACATGACCTGTAATAATGTCCTTATGTTGAGAATAAGGGTCTCTTCTCTCTTTTCTCCCACCCCCCTGCCCCCCCAAGTAGTAATCTGTGGTTCACAAAGTTTCTCTTTTAAATAAGTAGTCATGATGACTACTGTATATGCCAGTACTCCTTATTCAAAATCTTGTTACCTACAATATAAAGCCTTAAAATAGCCTTCCTTTTCCCACAAAAGCAAACTAAAATACATAGATGACGGATTATAAAATAGTATCACTGCTTAGTTTGATACACAGGACTAGGTTTACCTTTTATGCTGCTCAAGCTTAGACATCAGAGGCGTGAGAGCTGCTTTGAGTTACAGATCTTCAAACAATAAGTCAAAACAAAAAATCAATCCCTCCGGTCCTTGGGTGCAGTTATCTAAAGATAAAAGAGAAAAATAAAGTTATGCTAAAGCAGATAGAGGAAAGGAACAGATATGCCAAGGAAACACAGAGGACAAGTGCAGAGTTGAAGTGGGCCTAGTGTGAGCCAACATCAATGAAATTTTATCTTATCAAAAAGTTTTAGGGTTGCCAATTCTTTTCAAACTGGATCCAGTCTGCTCCAGGGCTGCCTGAAGCATTGGCTTCAATATAGTTGCTTCCCCTCACTCCCTTAAATATAACCACACAGGAATTAGATTGCATGTTAACTTTGCTGCAGACTTCAACAATATACAGACACCACACCCCGGGTAGGGTGACCAGATGTCCCGATTTTATAGGGACAGTCCTGATTGTTGAGCCTTTTTCTTACATAGGCTCCTATTACCCCCCACCCCGTCCCAATTTTTCACATTTGGTGACTGGTCACCCTACCCCCGGGTTACGCAAACCCGACTTAGGCAAATCCGCACTTATGGAAAAAGTTCTGTAAGCTAGAAATAGGGGGTTTTTGTTTTTGTTTTTGTTTTGTTTTTTTGCATAATTGTCGGGTATACGTTTCTGACTTACGCAAAATTCGAGTTACGTGAGGCGTTCTGGAACGGAATGCTTGCGTAAGTCGAGGAGCGTCTGTATGAGAGGTTCTGATAGTCCCTTGATATATTATATATAAATGCAGATTTCTTTTTAAAATGTTTAGTGAAAGATATAAACTTTAAATGAAAAGTCGGGCTGTCAATTAATCGCAGTTAACTCACACGATTAACTGAAATTAATCACGATTGTTGTTTTAATCGCACTGTTAAATGATAGAAGACTAACTGAAATTTATTAAATATTTTGGATGTTTTTCTACACTTTCATATATTATGTTGTAATTAAAATCCATTGAAATTGAAAGTGTGTATTATTGATTACAAATATTTGCACTGTAAAAATGATAGTATTTTTCAATACACCTCATACAAGTACTATATTGCAATCTGTCATGAAAGTGCAATTTACAAATGTAGTTGTTTTTTGTTTGGCTGGTTGGTTTTGTTTTTGAATGCAGTTATGTAACAATGTAAAACTTCAGTGCCTGCAAGTTCACTCAATCATAGTTCTTGTTCAGCCAGTCACTCAGACAAACAAGTTTGTTTATATTTGTAGGAGATAATGCTGACCGCTTCTTGTTTACAGTGTCACCTGAAAGTGAGACCAGGCATTTGCATGGCACTTTTGTATCTGGCATTGCAAGGTATTTATGTGCCAGATATGCTAAACATTTGTATGCCCTCTCATGCTTTGGCCACCGTTCTAGAGGACATGCTGATGACGCTCGTTTTTTGGCGGGGGGGGGG